CGATTAAAAACATGGATTTTTTCGTCTAAAAGTTGTTACTTTCAATCGCGAATAGCTAGAAAAATATCATTTTATAAAAAAATGTATAGCACATTTTTTGTTTAGAATCACTTTTCTAATCGAAACCTGTAGTTAAAACGTAAAAAAAAATTTCACCCCGGAGATGGGGTGGCCACCCCCTAGGCTTTGGCGCACTTTGGTTCGATATAGATTTTGATCCTTAGGCTATTACCTACCTTCTGTTAAATTTCAAGTCAATCCACGCCGCACGAAAAAATTGCGAGGTGAAATGCTACATTTCCTGGACTATAACTGGTTTGACAGCATAATAAAATCGTAGATTTATGTGTAGCTTTCAATTTTTATGAGTTCAGAATCCAGCAGCCCGCTGAAGTATGGGATTTTTTATAATATAATTATTTGACAATATTTTGTTGGCCAACCAGCTACAGCAGAATTGAGCCGAAATACATTATATTCCTATGTTCCGAATTTATTTCGTTCAATCTGTATATGAACATGGGCAAGTGATCAAGCCCATCTAGACGTATGTCTGCTAACAGGATACTTTTAGTGGCTGGACCTAGCTTCTTCTTTTTTGAAAATTCTGCATCTGTGCTGGTTTTTGATGGACGACCCCTTTTTGATTGTTGAGTTCTTTTTCCTTCCAATAGTAGTGCCTCTGCAATGCTCAGTTTGAATTCTTGGAGATTAGTTATGTTTCTTTTAGGTACCTGTAAGGATTAACAGTCTCTTCTGTAAATGAGCCAAGAGTTTACTACAGTAACATCTAAAAAGTGAAAAAACAATTTGTAGTAGAACTGTTTAGATCTAACATGAATTCTGTAAAGAGCAATTAATGCATCTATTAGGTCCACTCTACCCATAAATTGGTTATAGGTTTTAACAATAGCTGGACAGGTAATTGTAATATTCTGTTTAGTCTTTTTGTCATATCGCTCGCATATTCCAGTTCTGCAGATAAAAATGTTGATAGCAAATTTACTACCTTAACTCCCGATAAGCGATTTATTCTTACTGTTCCAATGCAATAAATTTTCTTTTTTGCCAAATGCACCATCAGAGCTAGAGAGGTAAACCAATTATCAAAATATAAGACATGATTTGCATCTACAGTAATACGAGTGGCTAATAATTACAGTACCACATTGGAGCCAGCTCCTAAATCTGGTTCTCCGGTTACTGGTTGGATTTTTTCAGAATATATAAAAAATTATACATAATTTCTTTCTCATCTCAAAGAGCACATAATTTGTAGTCCCATTAGTGGAACTTGCTGGGTATATATTGTTTAATGCTAGATATGCCTTTGAATGGCACGATCTGTTCATCAATACATAACATTTTAGGCATTGGAATTTCTCTAAATTTCACCTGTAAATGATTTATCAACGGCCTTATTTTGAATAGTTTGTCATATGTGGTAATATCTTTTGGTACTGTCGAATTATTGTTCAAATGGATTTTGAATTTTATTTCTTCCAACCGATCCACGATCATTAGTTCTGATACAATTGGGCAGTTTAACTTAGTTTTCCAATACAGTCTTGATTTGGATAGTTTTACCATGGACATTGTCATAAGGACGGCCCTAAAAATTGTTCCAATTCAGGAATTGACAATGACAGACTTTTATTAGGATTTTCTTGAATGGCATACAAGTTTGACTGCTCAACTATGTGAGTCAGAATATCTTCCGAAAAAAAATTTCTAAAAAATTTCACAGGTCGCTTTACAACTCCAGACGGCTCTAATTGATCTAACCACATAGGCAGTGGTTTAGCAGAATCTTCAGTTGGCACATGTCGCCAAAGGGGATAGGGTTTACGATTCGCTGATATTGACTTTTTTGGTGCTGCTACTATTTCTTCACTGGCTTCATTTTCTTCAATATTATCGTCAGATTCATCTATTATAAAAAAAGTATAAATAAGTCATTTCAAACTATAATACACAGAGACAAAACAGTCAATACAAATTGTAACGATTTATTTTGCCTACCACAAAGGGTATGATCATGAGGGTTGAAAATTTGGTGACAGAAACTATGGGGGTGGAGAAAGGGCAAGTAAAATAAACAAAACTTATGCAAACGGCACTCAGGGTTTGTTTGGAGAGCTTAGGTCGTGGATAAGTAAATGGCAAGGGGGTTGGATTAGGGCAGCTACAAAAAAATGAAACAACGGGGTACTAACATGAATCTCCTGGAAAAATGGGCAAACAAAACAACAAGAAAAGACCTCTAGCTATTTGAAAATAAATGCCGCTTCGAAGAATCCTAGTCTTGCTGGAAAAAGAAAAAAAGACTCTTCTTTTCTAAAATAATAAACACAAAAGAAGTTGTTCTGAAGCTATGTTCTTCTTGTGGCATTTTAAATTAATTACTATTTAAATGAGAATAAGCCAAAACTAAAGGTTAAAGTAGGTTTATTGATGTTTCAACTTCCACTTCGTAAATCGTTCTCAAAATACAAACATTACTAATTGTACTGGTTGAGTTTACCGAAAGTACAAGCTGATTATAGCCGCAAATGTCAAACATGGAACAAAAAATTTCGGTTTAGCAGTGTCTGCATGTTTTTATAATGTATATGCTGCATGCTTTAAAAATAAAAAGACAAAGATTTATAGTACATTTTTATTATATTAGGTAGGTATAAATTCTGCAATTTTTGATTTACATAAAACAAAAGCTTTCTCTCTTGGTATTGGAAGCATACACATATGCATTATAAAAACATCCCAACACTGCCAAACCGAAATATTTTTGTAACCGTGTTTTTGGTAAAGCAAAAAAGCAGTTTCGAAAAAAACATAATTTTAATTTAATAAGAATACCAAGACATCTACAGTGGTATAGGCAAGGTAAGAGTACTAAGAGAAGATTGGCCTCTTCTTGATACTAACAAGCTAAGTGAATACTATAGAGACATCCAATCAATTATGCCGGATAGAAAAAGAAATTAAACACCTCGGAAAAAAGGGATAAGAAAAATCTCACAAAAATGTTGTGTTGGTAAGAGGTTTAAAAAACTACAAGTATGAAGGAAAAGAGTCTTTTATATCTTTGAGAAAGAAAGGGAAAAATAATCTTAGATAAGTGAGACTGAAAGAACTTCCACTTCCTCATGTGTTAACCAAAGAAAAGACAAAAATGTTCACAAATTGTTGAAAAAAATATTTTTCTGACCCACGCTTTGGTTGGTACAAGAGTTTGATTTTTAATGAACCCACTACAGCAGCTGCTGGTGAGCAGCAAGTAATGAGTGACTGTCTCGACGATGAGCGCTATGAATTCAGTATTTAAAAACACTGTTTGTTTTATTAACTACCTATTATAACAATGTTTGTCACTTAGTTTAGGCCTATATTATTAGTTTACAAAATAGAAGTTCATTTAGAAAATTATTGTTCTGAAAATCTGATCCTTGGTTTAGTACATCAGTTTTTACTGTAATTGAAGGTCGGTGAAGGACTCTTCAACTATTGTTAATATTTCATTTTTTTTCTAAGTTTCATCTCTAGCTCTGTTTCATAGTTTGTTAATTTCTATTTTTTTCTTTTTGCACGATCCTTCTGAAAACTTTCATGTTCTGATTTTGCTCTACTGCTTGTTTAGTTTTTTTTACTTTGTAGTTTCTTATGTCTTTTCTTAGTGCCTTTGTGATCGTCCTATTTATTTTATTTAGAGCTTCTTAGCTTACGTTCCTATCTCCTTTTATTTGTCGCCTTTGGTCTTTTTTTTTTTTGTTTGTTGAGTTGACTTAAATTTTCATTCGTTTTGTTTGTTGGACAATATTTAGTTTAAGCCTGTTGCATTGTGTTTACTATTTATTTGTTAAATATATTAATGTCTGTTTTTTTATATCTTTCAATAAATTATCAACATATTTTTCGAACTCCTGAATATTAGTACTTTTGTCTATTTCTTTTTTGTCCATTTTGTGTCTTAATTTTGTAGACCATGTTGTTATTTTCTTTCTTAATAACCTATAACCAAGGCATGTAGTAAACTGGTTTAACACATTTACGTCTTTAAATAATTCTTTTGTTGAAGAAATAGTCAAGTATTTTGTGCTTCCATTAAGGCTTTCCCATGTCGATCTTCTGTGGATTTTTTTAAAAAAGTTTAGAAAACAGTTTACAATTATTTGCCTCTATCATTTTTACCTTTGCTTCCAAAATTTTCCAATATTATTCTTCCTTATTGCCTATTTTGGCGTTGAAATCGTCACTTATTAACAATACTGACCAGAATGTTCCTTGATGGCACGGGATATTTGATCGTAGAATATTTAGACTTCTTCGTCTGGGTGTCCTGTAGTAGGAGCGCATACTTGAACGATTTTCGTTATATATTATGCTTATTTTTGATACTTAAGTAGACCACCCTTATTAGGATTTGGTTTATTGACACAATTCTGTTGGCAAATTCTTTTGTATAAAAAAACCCCTCGCCTTCAACTGTTAATTCTTCTTCTTTGTAGTATCATATATTAAAAAATATCCAAATTTACTTTTGAGAGTTCTTTCTTCCTTTCTTCGAATCATTCTTCGGTAGAAAGTAACCGAGCATTAAGTGTGGTGATGTTGAGGTTTATCGTTTGATGCACTTTGAGTAAGATTGAAGTAGGAACTTTATGGGTCTTGTCATAGTTCCCCGGTGAAAACAGTATTAAGGGAAAAACCATGTTTGCTATTCCTGAAGATCTGTACTCTGCCGGGATTGTAAAGGAGTATCTATCAGCCACCCATTTTTAAATCCCTGGATGCAGTTAAATAAAAATTAAAGATTAGTTTAATAACAAATTGCACCTGCAACATCACCTGAGGACTTAAATGATGATTATATCACAAAAAATTAAGTAGAAATTTCCTTTTACTCTTATCTAGATATTATACTTTCGATAATGCACTTGTTATCAAGATATTATTTTGTATTTATATCGAGCATTTTCAAGTTAGGATATTAGTTAATTCTTGAATTTTTCAAATCAGGACTCATCCGAACTAGCACCTATTCAAAATGGTTCTCTCTGGAAAATACAGTATCATTGGAGAAGAAAACTTCGTTCAATATCTTAAAGATTATGGTGAGTTTATTTATTGTTATTTTTACTTTTGTTTTTGTTTTGTTTTTGTGCTTATTAACTTGTTTTACACCATAAGTAAAAAAACGACACTTTCAGGCGTCGGTTTGGATCTTCGGTTTTTTCCTCACTTATATTTTTCTATAAATTTCTATTTTGAGCTATTGTCTTTAATTTTTGAATATTTTTCCCTTTATTCCTTAGTATTTCTTCACTCTTATCTATCCATTTCCTTAAGGGTCTTCTCCTTCTGTTTTTCTTTCTACTATCTCAATTCTAATATTTGCTTTGTAATTCATTCGGGTTTCAGTATGACCAAACCAAAATATTTTCTCATGCTTAATTTTAGTACTCAAAAATAGGTTTTTGCTTTATCATTTTTCTAATATGTTCATTTCTTATTCTGTCCCATTTGGTTTGTCCGGAAATTTTTCCGGGAACGGGGAAAGCATTTTTTAGTTTGCAAGTTCTAATACAGAGAGCCAGGGGTGTCCACTGCAATGTGTATGCATGTTTCATTGATTTCGAGAAGGCATTTGATAAAGTCCCACATGGGAAACTAATCGATATTCCAACAACACCAGGACTCGGTGGTAAGGATATAAGACTGATTTTAAACTTATATTTTCAACAAAAAGCAACAGTATGATTAGAAAATGAACTGTCCGAGAACTTCACAGTCGAAAAAGGAGTTAGACAGAGTTGCATATTGTCACCGGCATTATTTAACATATACTCTGAAAACATCTTTAGAGGGGCCTTGGACGAATCAGAAGATGAGATTGCTGTAATTAGATATATAGACGATACAGTGTTGCTGGCAGATAGTGCGAAGGGGCTCCAAATGATGATTGATAACGTTGTAGAAGCCAAAAGCTCTTTTAACAGCCTTAGGAAGATTATCTGTAACTTATCTTTTAGTATCAATATACGCATGAGAATTCTTAGATGTTACGTCTTTAGTGTCCTCCTCTATAAAGCTGGAGCCTTACAGAAGGTGTCATAAAACGATTAAAGGAATTTGAAATATGGTTCTACCGACGTATGTTGAGAGTCTCACGTATATACCACACAAGTAACATAGCTATTCTCGAGAGGCTAAGAAAAGACAAAAAAATTATTACCACCATAAAAACAGAAAATGGGCTTACTTCGGCCACTCAATTTAAATAATAAAACTTCCAATGGTTGGCTTGACAAGTTTTGCTTAAGACATAACATTAAATTTCTGGAGAAGCTGCAAATGTTATTAACATTGACGACGATTCAGAGTAGTAAAGAAAACTGCCAAATTTATTAAGTGGCTATTTACCTGAAGTTACTTTTCATTATGAAAAGTACATTGGGGGTAAATCTGCGAAAGAAAGGCTAACCGTATTGTTGTGTGCAAATTTAATTGGGGAAAAAGAAAAACCTTTGGTAATTGGTAGAAGTAAAAATGCTCGATGATTTAAAATATTTATATTGATATTCTCAAAGTCGACTAGTACTACAACATGAAGACCTGGATGACCATGAAACAAAAATTTTTTATGTGTATGTGTAACGTAACAAAAGTATTTGGGCTAATGTAACAAATTACAACAGAGAGCCAATGTTACAAAAAACAAACAAACTAAAGGCTGGCTAGCGGAATGTGCCGGAGAGTGACTACTTGACACTCAAAAGGGGATTCAGCCAATTTGCATACCCTACAGAGACCATAAAATAAATGACAGGGTAATAAAAACAATATATATATGAATAATGTAAATAAAAGTGATAAACTATGGAAATTGCTCTAAGATGAGATTGGGCGCCAGGAAAATATTAAGGTATCTTGTAAAGCTGTTTGCTGAAATGAAAAGAAAAACAGGTATTAATTGAGATATTTAGTCTTCACAACAAATTTAATACCTATCCAAATATATACAGTAATTTATATGTTACCCACCACCATTTATGTACAGTTAACCTAGTTACTTATATACTAAAAAAAGTCCCTGGTTATACACAATTGATCCTTGATGATCTGAATTTACAAATAATATAATATAAGAAAAAATTAAATGATTCTACCTAAAAAGGTAATTTACTTGCCTACTAAAGATGTAACTCTGTACTTCGGCTTTCAATTAAATGTCCTAATAAAGTCATAATGACACTATCCCGAAGGAATAGATGCCCAAAGGTTTAAATATATAATAATAAAACATCAATAACGAACACTTTGATTAAATGTATACACATACAATCGAACACAGTTGATGGGAAGGCTTTAAAATCTCAACCTATAGTTGACAATTAGTCCTTAAATGCTATTTGATATTATTAAAAAAACTGAAGGGTATTTATTATGAGATGAAATAGTAGGAGTTAAAAAAAATATTATATAAAAAAAATTATTAAAGTTGATGAGTAAAACTTAATACAAATTAGTACTGTTTTACACTCAAAATAGGGAGGTCTTTTCGGCTGGTTCCCTGAAGCTGTCCGGAAAGTTTTATATGAGATCTGGACCTCTGGAGGAACAGCTAAGGGTGACGGACAAAGATGCAAATCCAATATTAACCAACTTAATTCTTTTTTCCTTCTAATAAACCCTAAAAAAAAAATAAGAAATCCTTGACTCTGGATTTTAACTTCTTTAGTAGGCTAAAAGAACATTTGTGTTAGAGTTCCTTTTTACTCTTGATAAAAAGGAGGGGAAAACACAAGGTGTATTAACCTTGAAAGATATTACAAAAAGTTACTAGAAAGCTCGTATGCAAGCAAAAGTATTTCTTAATGAAATGATGTGAGACATGACAGATAGATACATCAACTATCAAAGGAAAAATGACAATATTATAGAAATCAAAATGGTTGATGGTTTTTATACTTTTTATTGATAATTGGATCCACTTACCGGCTCAGAATGATTATAAATCAAACGGTACACACTACAAAACAAACTAAAACTTTTTCATCTTTTTCTTCTTCCCAAAAAAATTAATATTCTTTAAGACAAATTTAAATTTAATTAAAATAAATTTAAGTTAGTTTCTGAGATATTTAGCTTAACTTCTTACTAGTTAAATAATTTTTAATATATTCCCATATTTTTAGGTATACCAGAAGACTTAGTTAAAGACCATGATCAGTTCTCTATAGCATTCAAACAAGTCGGTAACAAAGTTACAATTACTAAAACTACCAACAACAGTTCCTTGGATGTCTCCTTTACTATTGGAGAGGAATTTGAAGAACAATTTTTTGGCCACAAAATTAAGGTAATATATTATCAATGTGTACGATACTTTTTCGAAAAAAATTTAATATATGTAATTTAGTAAAATTCGAAACATATACATAAGGCATTTAACTTATTTGGTTAATAACAATTTTTTTGCCTATCTTCTTATAAGAAATCTAAAGTACACTGTCTTTATAGTTTCTTCATATTTTATGATATTTTGATTCAAACTAAATTTATTTATTTTATTTTTTATTTAGCGTATGGCTACATCACAGGTTCATATAAATACAAATATATAAATTATATAAATTACAAACAACAGTAAATATAAAAATATTATTCTACAAACAAACATCTAAATTATAAATATATTCGATTGACTCTTTTGTAGCAGCCAGGAAATCTGAAGGGTTGCCATTATAGGATCTAATCGGGCATTCCTCTACCATGTGTTTTACTGTTTGCCTTTCGGCGCCGCAGTCGCAATTTGGTGATTGTATTTTTCCCCATCTAAAAAGTGAGTCGGAACATCTGCCACAGTTCGTCCTTATTCTATTGAGTGTGGTCCAAATTCGTCTCGGTTGGTTGAAGCCCTCAGGTTTGCTTGTAATACATGGCATGTTCCAGTTAGCTGGTGCAGCGTTATTCTCCCATTGTTCTCTCCACCGTTCAGTTACATTAAAGTTTTGATTTACTAGCCTTTTTGCTGTTTTTAGAGGCGGGTGTCTTGAACGGAGCCTATTTATGTCTCTGGCGGAAGTTCCGACATGGGAGCGGAGCTCAGGATCAGTATTGATTTTTGTAAGTTCTCTGACAAGGGCATGTTCCCGGCGGATGGGTGGTGGAGCTATATGACTCAAAGCTGGTAACCAGTAAGTGGGCGTGGCCTTGATTGTGCCCGATATAGTTCGCATGGCTTGGTTGAGTTGGACATCAACACGGTGAGTATGTGGACTGTTTATCCATACTGGTGCACAGTATTCCGCTACGGGGTATACCAGACCTAATGCTGTCGATCTAAGTGTGGGTGCTGAGGAGCCCCATGTAGTGCCGCAGAGCTTTTGCAGGATGTTGTTACGAGTTCGGAGTTTTGCAGCAGTCTTAGTAAGATGCTCTTTAAAGTTCAGCGTTCTGTCAAGTGTAACACCTAAGTATTTTGGGTGTTTATTATATTTAAGGAGTCTATCCCCAAAATTGATTTGAGGTTGATAGTTGGCCATCTTGTTATATAAATGGAAGCAGGACCTTCTGTGTTAGTTGGATTAAGTTGCAATCTCCATTTTCGTAAATAATTCCCTAGGGCATTTAAATCGTTTGTTAGAATGCGTTCAGTGACCTCGAATTCTTTATGACTTGCGGCAAGCGTCCAGTCGTCTGCGTATCCAAACTTTTTTTGATGTGGTTTCTGGCATGTCTGCTGGTTTTAAAAGGCTGAAAAGCAAGGGGGCCAGCACGGATCCTTGTGGAAGTCCATTATTCAGTTTTCTTTGAGTACTAGTCTTGTCTCCCAATATAACTTTAAAGCATCTGTTGGATAGCATGGCGTTAATAACCTCAGTTATCTTTCTGCATGGGATTATTCGCATTAATTTATATATTGCCCCTTGTCGCCACACAGTGTCATAAGCAGCAGATAGATCGATGAAGACAGCGGTTGTTTTTGATTGCTTTTGAAAGTTTGATTCCACATAATTGGTCAGGGCGAGTACCTGGTCTGTGCAGCTGCGGTTTGGCCGAAATCCTGCCTGTAATACAACATAAATACTTGGAGTTTAATATAAACAAATATTGTATGTGACATAAAAAATTAGTACTAAACAAATTTTATTACAGAGCAACTCAAAACTTGATGGAGATGTCCTCGTAATCACCAATGGAGACAATTCTAGGACTTTCAACTTCACTGATAATGGTTTGGAAATTGTAAGTAAAAATTTAGTTTGCAGTTAGGACAGTGGGCTTAATTAGTAAGCTTACATCTTATACACAGAAATATAAATATTTGTTTGAAATACGTAAGCCCATCCGTTTTCCCTATTGATCGATTTAATGTGTTGTCTTAATTGATTGATTTATTAGAATGCTATCCATGACATATGACATCTACATACTTGTGGCCTGTATTTAATACATGTGTTTTTGTTTAATTCATGTTTTAGCAACCAGAACATAAAAATATAGAGGTTAAAGTAGTGAATATAATATATTATTATCTAAATTAGATGAAGTATATGTACCTTCATTGGAATGATAAAATCTTATATAGCAAGAGATCCGTCTTGTTACCTTCGTAGGTGTTCTGGTCAGCGTCTTTTTGGTGGTTTGTTGACATATAAGAAGTAGAATTAGTAGATTATTATTATGACTTTCTATTATATTACGATGTTTTCTATTTCCTTACTTACCAGAAACTTACCAGAGATCATCTGCTTTAATACGAAGCCTCTTGGACTATCATTTCTAGCTGTTGTCAGTATTGCTAGATCTGTAGATCTAGCAATCTATTGACAGATCTGCTAGAATTACTCCAAAGCATGATTGTATATACTTCAATTGATTTAATAAAACTCTTATATAAAATGAGTTTGTTTTCAAAGGATTGCTTAAACCTTCTGCCGAATAACTAGTAGAGTATTTTTTGGTTTTAGACTCACCTAATTTTTTTTTCTTGGTGTCCAGTGCCCTTTACGTTTAATCGTATATCTAAGTAATTTGTGCTTGTGAATTGCTGAATTTTAATATAATTATTGTATTGTTTAGAACATTGGTATTTCTATACACTTACATTTTCTTGGTTTTGTTAATTTTTATTTTCCATTTGTAATAAGATATTTGACGTGATTGTGGAATCATTATCCAACGTTAATATGGCGGTATTATCAACAAATTTACTGTGATAATTTCCACTTGTTGGTGGTACATTTCTGCTGTATAAAACATAAATAATTGTTCCAACGACAAGTCCTTGTAGAACACCACACAAAACGTTTAATATATAGATTATAATAATATACTGAAAAATAGCTGATCTCATGTTTTCTACCATATCTAGAAATCTAATTTTTAGTATAGGAAGGTTCAACAAAAACGAAACAGAGTCATTACTAGGAACTACGACAACATTTTTGAAAAATCTAGTGACAGCTCAATTGTTATTTAAAGGGAAATACATTTTACCGGTATTTTCAGGTTTTATTAAAATATAATGAGTATTAGAAGGACTATTAAATAATATCTTATTTGACCCCCATTGCTATAAAAAAAATATTGTGGTGATTCTTACCCTGTCTTAGGGGTGAAAGTAAAATAATCGACAGTTCTAAAAAAAGTGTCCCGATTTAATCAAAAATTGACCTCTCCCTGGTTTTATCAAAAATGTTGTAGCTCCTGATAATCGACCCTGTTTCGTGTGCGTTGGGCCACCCTGTAGTTAAATTGATACATTTTTAGGCTCTATTACAGTCGTATTAAGAATATTACAGTTACTGACTTATAGACCTATAATATTTTACTAAAAAGCAACTAATTCTGAAGGTGATAAATAGTGATGTGAATATTATTGCTATAATACGTTTATTATAATATTTTTTTTATTTCTAGGTTCATAAATCACCTAGAGGCTCAGCAAAACTCATTTTCAAGAAAGACTAGATGACATAATAATTTTAGAAGAATATGTAACTTAATTTGTGTAATATAGTTTTAATATTATACTTTTTTTATTTTACTACTTTATATTTTAATTTATTTTACTTTATATATATATATATATATATATATATATATATATATATATATATTGTTATGTTATTACTTTTTTACTTGATTAATTAAGCAAATCAAAAACATAACTTAATTCAAATCATGAATGTGTTGCTTGTGTGAGTTCATTTCAAATAGGTACAGAAATAATAAATAAGACTTACTCACAATCGATTTAATTTAACTATCAGACGACCGGTTTCGCTTTCTACAATATGCAAAGCATCTTCAGGTCTCGATACAAAGTTAAATAAATGCTGAAATGATAAAAACCCATATTAAGGCGTTGTCTAATAAAGAGAAACAAATTAGATGTTGTAAATTACAATAATTATGCCAATATTACATGTCTGTAGTGTTAATTTCAAAATGAGTAAGTTTAATAAAAAGGTATAAAAAGTTTTAAAAGTTTAAACAGACAAGGTGAGGCCCACAAATTGTTATAAAATAGTCTATTAGATTGTAATAAATTAATAAATGAGCAAATAAATAAACATTACTTACAAGCCGGTACTCTATTAATTAATGGATGGTAGAACATGGTTGAAACTACTATGTATTGTTGAATGGAGAACTCAATTCTGCTATTGTAGTTGTTTGACATTAAATCGGAAGTTCTTGGGGAGATAGATTTGATCCAATGAAGCAGAGATATGTGTGTTATTATTTGTTAAATGAAAGTGATGTATAAGTGATGATGCAAATAATACAATGGTATATAACATCACTTTCATTTAACAAACAATCACACACATATCTCCGCTTCATTGGATCAAATCTATCTCCTCAAGAACTTCCCGTTTACTGTCAAACAACTACAATAGCAGAATTGAGTTCTCCATTCAACAATACATAGTAGTTTCAACCATGTTCTACCATCCATTAATTGAGTACTGGCATGTAAGTAATGTTTATTTATTTGCTCATTTATTAATTTATTACAATCTAATAGACTATTTTATAACAATTTGTGGGTCTTACCTCGTCTGTTTAAACTTTTAAAACTTTTTATACCTTTTTATTCAACTTACTCATTTTGAAATTAAAACCACAGACATGTAATATTGGCATAATTATTGCAATTTACAACATCTAATTTGTTTATCTTTATTAGACAACACCTTAATATGGGTTTTTATCATTTCAGCATTTATTTAACTCTATATGGAGACCTGAAGATGCTTTGCATATTGTAGAAAGCGAAACCGGTCGTCTGATAGTTAAATTAAATTGATTGTGAGTAAGTCTTATTTATTATTTCTTTACCTTTTTTTCATAACTTAATTGTTGTTGGATTGACTTGAAATTTTAACAGAAGGTAGGTAATAGCCAAGGATTAAAATCGATATCGAACCAAAGTGCGTCAAAGCCTTGGGGGTGGTTGCCACCCCCTCTCGGGGGTGAAAATTTTTTTTACGTTTTAACTACAGGTTTCGATTAAAAAAGGGATTCTAAACAAAAAATGTTCTATACATTTTTTTTGTAAAACTGATATTTTTCAAGTTATTCTCGATTGAAAGTAACAACTTTTAGACGAAAAAATCGACGTTTTTAATCGATTTTTCGCGAATGACTCGATAATGATGCATTTTATCAAAAAGATTGTAGAGAACAAATTTGTAGCTTTTAAAAAGACAAATACAATTCATTATTTAAAATGTTTTTGCGATATAACAGAAAGCGAAATACGACCTAGCAATGTTCAGCTGTTTTCTTCAAATGCCAAATTTGAAAGACTCAAAGTCAAATATCGGGAAATGATGCATTTTTGGATCATAAAAAAAGACTCTAGCTCAAAAATTAAGTGAGTTATGATGAAAATAAGGTCAATACCTTATTTTTTTTAAGAAAAAAATCGATGAAAACAACACCCTAACCACCTTCATAATTAAAATCGATCTTCACCCTTCTGCAATTCTCTTTGTACATGTATTGTTAATACGTCCAAGAAGTTTGACCCATTTCAAATGCTTAGTTTTAGAAAAAGTACAGCATAAAGCGAGAAACGATTTACAATTTCATATTTTTTACCCTTCTTTTTTTAAATGTCCCCGAAAATACTGAATATATGAAAAAAATAAAATGTAATAAATTGTAGCTTTTTTAATGACTAAAATTTTCCTTTATTTGGATTTGTCGTACAATGAATATTTGGCGAGATATAGCCGTTTGAAGCATCTATTTACGATCAAGCACCATCTTTTTCGAGCCCTTTAAACTCACCCCATTTAAAAACCAAGAGTTTCAAATAGATTTAATTCACAGATCCTTATAGCTCTTAAAAACCTCTACAAAATCGTTTTTGAAGAAACACTCTATCGTTAAAAATGAAGGAAATACGTTAAAAAAACCAATTAATTTTTTTTTTTTGGAAAATTCCATTAGTATAGTACAGTACATTTCGGAGCATAATAATCTACAAAACCGGTATATTAGCTAGTATGGCGTTATACATTCGAAATTTTAAGCGTTCTTATTTTGAAATCCCATACAACAGAATAAAACATCTGCATATGTCTATGACTTGGCAATGAAAATATCAGAGCAGCAGATTGGGGATGGTATTCCGAAGATGGTTTCTTATTACCCGTACGCATGAACAAACAACCTGCACCCGATGAACTTTTGAAAATTATTTTTTGCCAATGCAAAAAAGGATCCGGCGTTTCATGTGGGTGCAGAAAAGTTGGTTTATACTGTAACTCTACTTGTTCTGGGTGCTCAGGTGAAGGGTGCAATAATAGTCCACCAATAATTGAAGAAGATGAGGATGACATAGATCACGATGAAGATGTAATTGATGACGAATAAAATTAATATTATAATTGTTTTACCTATAAATGTAAGTATTTTCAACTATTTATGTAAATGTTTAAGAATATATGGTGCCTTTTTATGTTAATACATTTTTTTTGTATTTAATTCTACTTTTTTCAATTTATATCTATTTAATTAGTTTATAAAAACTGCAATGTTGTAAAGCGGGATTTTCAAAAGTTGAAAAATTGCAAAATTTTGGCAAAAATTCTTTCCACCTATAGCACTCATAACAATTGATTTTTAAGGGTTGAAAATGTATGAAATTGTATTTTAAAGTATAAAAAAATTACTATTTAACTAATCCAAACCAAATTTTACTCATCTTAAGATTTGTAATGTTATTTTACAATTTTTAAAAATTAGGGGTAGTTTTCACCCCTAAGAACAATCAGGGTTCATCGGCATGACATAAACTATAAAGCAGAGGGTGAGTTGAGCTTAATTCCAAATTTTTATGCAAATCGTTCCAAGGCGAAATCATTTTCTTCGCATTACTACTTTTTTTTACATTATTCTTTAACAAGGGTCGCTTTTTAAGGGTTGAAATATGATGGAACTTTATTCAAAAGCACGAAACTATCATTATTTAATTAATTCAAACCAAATTTTACCCATATTCAGGTTTAACATGTTATTTTATAGTTTTCGACAATTAGGGGTAGTTTTCACCAATAAGAACAATCAGGGTTCGTCGACATGACATAAACTATAAAGCAGTGGGTGAATTGAGCTTAAATCTAAATTTTTATCAATTTTATTCAAAAGTACAAAATAATTATTATTTAACTAATTCAAACCAAATCTTACCCATATTCAGGTTTAATATGTTATTTTATAATTTTTGATAATTAGTGGTAGTTTTTACCCCTAAAACCCTTCAGAACACTTCGGTTCGATATAGATTTTGATCCTTGGGCTATCACCTACCTTCTGTTAAAATTTCAACTCAATCCATGCAGGACGAAAAAATTGCGAAGTTTTAACTTTTTTCGAGCTTCATTTCCTGAACTATTATCGCTTCCTTTACGCAAACAACATTGTTGCGAGACAGATAGTTGAACGATATTTTATACAATGTCTATACCCAGGTATGGATTTATTTTTGTCCAAGCATTATATTGGTCCACTATTTCAAATGCAGTTCAAACAGACATATATTAAATTGTATGATCCGTTTTAAATTCGTTCAATCTGTATAGATAGCTAGACAGATTCGAGATATAGGCAACTAATACATAATATATGAAAATGCAACTATAATAATACAACTAGGCGAAAATACTAATCCCATCCCCATTAAAAGAGGAGTGAGACAACGAGACGTAATATCGCCAAAGCTTTTCAACCTAGCCCTAGAAGACGTCTTCAAAACTACAAATTGGTCAACCTATGACATTAACGTTAATGGTAACAAGTTAAACCACCTCAGATTCGCTGACGACATAGTGATTATAGCGAGCACATTCGAGGAACTGCAAATTATGTTGGGGGAACTAGCAGCCAGCTCCCAATACGTCGGCCTAAAAATGACTATGAAAAAAACAAAAATAATGACAAACACAGATGATCACAGACATATAACTATAAACGGCAGTGAGATAGAACAAATCCAGGAATATATCTACGTAGGCCAAATCCTGAGACTTGACAAAGAGAACCAAAGTAAGGAAATTACTAGAACAGCAAGACTAGCATGGGCAGGATTTGGAAAACTTAGTTGGATACTTAAAAACCGCAAAATACCCTAATACTTGAGGAGCAAAGTGTTCAACCAATGAATTCTTCCTATCATGACATATGGATGTCAAACCTAGACCCTCACCAAGGCAAACATGAATAGACTAGCCACAACAGAAAAAATAATGGAAAGGGCAATGTTAGGTACATGACTGTCAGATAAAAAGAGGAACGACTGAGTAAGATCCAAAACAAAAGTCGAGGACATAACAACAAAAATTGTTAAACTTAAATGGAGCTTTGCGGGCCACACTTCTAGACAAAAAGACCAACGTTGGAATACTACAATACAACAATGGAGACCTTACAAAAGTAAACGACCAAGAGGAAGACCACAGATGAAATGGGTTGATGACATTAAAAGAATAGCCGAAACAAATTGGAAATATGTTGCTCAGGATACAGACCGATAGAAGGAGTTGGGTGAGGCCTATGTCCAAACATGGACGATAGAAGGCTAAGAAGATTTACATTG